GAGAGGAGAATCCCATCTAGATGAAAAGTCCTGCTGGAAAAACAGCCGGCAAATTTTCGGGGCATTGGCTAGGGAAGCGCCACCCTTTCCCAGGTGGGGTTTCTGCTCAGCCCTTAACCAGGCCCAAGCGCCTTCTGGCATGACCCCCCCTGGGCAGAATGAGGGCACCCCTTTGGAAAGCCTGGAGCGCCCCTGGCTGTAGAGCCCATCGTCGCTCTGGGATCTCAGGGATCTGAATACAACGGGATGCTCCATGCGAAGGGGGGGGGCGGCAGGGGCTTGCACAGATTTATGGCTGAAATGCACCATGGGCTTCCAAGGTGCCTTGCAAGGTCTCTGCTGGAGGGACACACACACCACAACACGAGGGACACACACACACACACACCACAACACAAGGGAAGTGGGAGTCCATTGGCAGTAAAAACTGAAGCAGTCCTCTCAGGTCACCCAAAACAGAGCAGAGCACCTTCAGTGGGAGAAGCTGAAGGGACCTTCTGCACTGGGAGGTGGGGCAGGGGCGGCGGGGCAGGGGAGGTTTCTATGGCCAGCAGAGTTTGAGTCGTCCCTCTCTTCTTGCAGAGAAACAAATCTGGCCAGCCCTGCGAGGGCCTCCTCAGAGCTTCTCCTCCCTGTGAAGCATCCCCAGACAGCCCTCGCCAGCCCCAAGCCAAGCAGGCGGGGGGGGGGGGATACAGACACACACACACACAAGTTGACCTGCTGCAGGAGCCTCCCCGAGTGTGGATTCTCACCTGGTTTGAGACCACAGTCCTCCAATAGCGAGGCTGCCTGGCAGTGGAGATGAGCCGATGAGGCTCTTTTGCCCATGGGGGTCCCCACTGGACGTGAGCGTTAGGGACAGTGTGCTTCCACGACCACCCATCTCATTTTCCCCCACCCTCCATGGGGGCCTTGTCAGCTGCCCCCTTGCAGCCACGCTGCCTGCCTGCTGGGGCGGCAGGTCTCTTCTGCCCTTGCCAAGGGCCGGTACAGCCATGCAGCAAGGAGGAAGAGAAGGTGATCGAAGGTGCACCCCGGGAGCCCCCCCACACCCTGCTGGGTCCCTCCCCAGCAGCTCCTCCGGGAAACCCATGGCTGTGCGCCTCGAGAGGGAAAGGAACACTGCGCACACAGATCCTGTGCCCTGCTTATCTCAATAGGAAAAGCCAATTCAGGAGGAGAACTTCCTTGCACTCGGGCGCTCCGCGTCTCCATTGTTCCCTGGCCTCCGCTGCCAGCCGGGGTTTGCAGGTCGAGCCCCCACCCGGCCTCCCTGAGCGCCGAGGGAGGAGGGAGACAGCTGCTTCTCAGGGCTGCTACCTCACTGGGTGGCACAAAGGCCGAGGGACTCGCCTGCTGTCCAAGGCACAGTGTGCACGCACACACGTGCCCCAGGTCACCCCTGCTTGCCTGGCTGTATGGGTCCAGGTCTCCCTGTTTGAGAACACCTGCCCCCCGTCAGCCCACCTGGGTTTTGAAATGTAGCTGAAGGCCATCGGGGAGAGCAGGAACCGCCGGGAGAGACACCCCAGCCTGCAGGAGCATCTGCAGCCGGCCTTGTAAGGGGTCCCTCAGGGAGCAAAGAAACCCCATCTCTGGCCGATGAGAGGGCTGCGCCGGATGTGGGGTCTTTAATTAGGACGAGGCAGTCTCATCATGTCCTGTTACAGCCAGGATGTGCATTTGCTCGTTAGCACCAACAGTGAACAGCCTATGTTAGTCACCATTCCATCTCCACTCGTACATGATGTAAGTGCAGGACAGACAAGAAATGCTCCTGTCAGAAGACATGCCATGCCATCCAGAGGGCACAAGCCTCTGCAAAGTCTGCTGCAGATGTTAGTCTCAGACGGCGACGGGCCAGCAGCCCAGCCTGGCGTTTCCTACTCTAGGTAGAACTGGCCTCCCAGCTGTTCCCAGCAGCCGCAGAGGAGGAGGAGGAGGAGGGCCTGAGAATGATGGGCTTCTGGAGGAGCTCTGTGGGATCCGACCGAGGTGCTCCTGTGGGGAATCACAGCTTGGGATCCCACCGTCCCCTAGGGAAATGTCCACCAGGGAAGGAAGTGGCCCGCTCAAGCCTCCGTGGGCAGCCAAACACTGTATAAAGTACTCCAGCATTTCCGGGCTGTTCTCCCCCACCCCACCCCCACCGCTCCAATCAGGAGGAGGCCTGATGATGGCCAGGCCATTTGCGGATGGATGGATGGACAGAGGGATGCATGCACACATCCCACCAGACCTTGCCCATCTTCCTCTCTCTGCTTGGCCAACAAGTTTGGGGAGGCAATGGGGAGCCAAATCACCTCAGCAGACGGAGAGGGGGCTGGGCTTTGGGGGGGAGGGTCCCCCCCTGCTCCCCCACAGCCTTCTGCTTTTACCCCCCAAAAGGCAGGCCTAGTGCGTGGGGAGCAGCCAACTGTTGCAGAGAGAAAACTGGCCACCAACGTGCTCCCTGGCGCAGCAACCAGGGCAGGATGTGAGGAAGCAAAAAAGGGGGTGGGGGGAGAGAGAAACACACTCTGACCCAACCCCACCTGGGAGCTGGTTTGAGTGCCTCCTCATGGTGCAGCTCCTCTCTTTCATGCCATCTTTCCACCAAAAAGGGCCAAGCAGCCAAGGCCAACCTTCCTCCTTGGGCCCCCTCTGGCTCCTTCCGCTAGGGCATCTTTGCACCAAACCCCAAGGGCCTGAATAATGTGAAGGCCAGGAGGAGGGGCCACAGAAGACGACCCGCAAGGGGAACCCAACTGGCCCGTGGCCTGCGGCTGCCCACCACCACCAGAGCCGAGACGGCTGTCAGGGTCACTCAGCGTTTCACAATTGTTTCACTGGGTGGACTCAGAGCTGGTACAAGCCACAGGATATGACCCATTGTGTTTTTTTAAAATGCCAGGTTAAAGAGAATCCGCAGACTCCTTCCCTCTGGGAGCCACGAAAGAGTAGACCCAGGGAACCTTCTCCTGGACAAAGGGGCCAGGAACTCCTGGGCACAGAGGCGAGGCACCACAGCCCCCCATGGTGGCAGGAGGGAGGTGGTACGGCCACACCCCGGGTCCGGCTGTGGCTGTAAAAGGCCACCTCCTTTGTGCAGCTGTTGCTACCTGCCGCAATGAAGTGGGTTGGCTGAAGGGGGGAGACTCCCAGGTTTTAAGATCTTTGGAGGAAGGCCTTCTTCTCACTCAGAGGTGCGACCCTCCCAGCCACCACACCCAGTATGGGCGCAAGAGGCTCCTTCTGGTAGCGGCACCCATACTGAGCGCCCGACGGCCCACTGCAGGCAAACACTTTCCCGTTCCTAGGAGAGACCTCCCCTTCCAAACCTGAACTGGCTGGCTGGGAAATAAAACTTCACAATGGAGGGAGCTGTTGGATGTGTTTTGAATTGTGTTGCATGGTTTTATTTGGTGTTAGCATGTTTACTGCCTTTTTAATATTGCAATGTTTACTGCCTTTTCAATATTGCGATGTTTTAGCTGGATTCTGAAATGTTTGTAAGCTGCATTAAGTTCCTTCCGTGGGAGCAAGGCAGGTTGTAAACTGAATGAATGCATGAGATTTCTTTTTCAGTTGTTTTGAAAAAAATTCAAAAGTCTTATGTGAGATACGGCATCCAAAAGCCAGAGTTCCTTCCCGTGTCAGACTGTGGCCTTTCTCCTGAGCCTTGGGCTTTAGCTTCACCCCCAGCCAACTTCCTTAGAAAAAGGAGCCCTGCTCACGATCTGCTCTGGGGCACCATGGAACCAATCAAGGCCACAAATTGTGGCCAAAGAGGAAAGCCAAAAAGCCCCCCCCCACCAGCCCATGTTCCTCTGCTCCCAGCCATGCCACCAAGATTTTGCCCCACGGACTGCCCAGCCTACAGGAAAGGAGGGGGCGCGTAGAGAGACCTCCCACTGCCTCCAGCCTTTGAGCTACAACTGGGACAGGAGGGCGGCCGTAGAAAAGAGAGCAACTTGACAGCAGGCCAGGAGAAGCCCACAGGAGAGCAGGCCACGTGGAGGTGCCACATGCCCAGGTCCACACCCAGCCCGAAAGGAGGAAAGAGGGAGCATTGAAGAGCCCAGCCTGGGAGGAGCCAGGACCCTCTGCCTCCAGCAGTTGGACCAGAGGGGAGGAGTGCAGCGCCACACACAGCCCACCTCCTCCCCCCTGCACACACCCGAGGCGGGTCCCCCCCTTCTGCGCAGGTCAAGAAAGGCCAGGGGCTCGACCCCTTAGGGGATCCGACCTCCTTAAGGAACCACCCCCTGGGAAAAAGAGCAAAAGAGGGGCTTGCCCTTAGAATACCCCCAGCTCAGAGAGTCCTGCCCCAAGACGAGGCTGGCCCAGGTAATGCTCGGAAGGGAGCTCTCTCAAACCGGCAAGGACCGTTCGGTGTCCCCCCTCTGCGGAGCGGGCCCTCTCCTCGCCTTCCCCAGCCAGCTGTCAGAAGGGCAGATCCCGCAGGCCCTGCCTTCCCCCAGGAAAAACCTGCCGGCACTAGTCAAGAGGGCCGAGGGGAGGGCAGAGCAGGCTCCAAAGAGCAACTCAGCGCCTCCTGGGCATAGCCGTCCGGGGGGGGGGGCTGGAGGAGGCTGCCATCCTGGCCAAACCGGCTGGGCGGGGCCTTTGCTGCCCCCTCTCGCTCCCATCAGCTCCACCCAGCTGAACCAAGAGAAAGCGACGAGGGGGGGGCAGCTCTGTCCCCAAAGCGGCTCCTGCCAGACCAGGGAGTCCTGCAGGCAAAGGCCTGCTGGCCTTTAGCGGCAGAACCCTTGGCTTAGGGAGACAGGCCGGGTCTCTTCTGCACTGGCAGGAGGCACCTCTGGGGAGACCGTCAGCCACCCACATCCGAGCCGGAGGGAGGGGCTCACCACGCGGTTGCTGAGAGAGAAAGCAACCCGACCCCTCTGGCTCGCTCGCACCCTTCCAGGAAAACAATACGTCTCTTTTGACCGGCTCTGGGCGGGACCCTCTGTCCCCCACACACACACACAAACACACCTCCAGAAAGCTAGAGAAGAGAAAGGAAGTCACCTTTTATTCCCCATTGCCCCCGCCCACACACACACACACACACCAGAAGAACTGGCTCTTGCGCTCCCTGCTTGCCAGGAAAAGAGCCAAGGGCATCTTCCTAAAGGCCGTGGCTGGCCTGTGAGCAGCCCTCGGGCACGCGGCGGGCAACCCGCTGGAGGGAGCACAGGGTCTGCGAAGAGGAGCTGGCGGGGGTGGGCATGATGGCGAGCGGCTGAGGAGGCCCCCTCCCTCTCCCCACACTCCCGCCAGCCCAGAGAGGAGCACAGTGCCCCCCCACACACACACCGCCCACCCTTCAAGCCTGCAAGTTCTTGGTGAGGCGACGAACTTTCTCCTTCTTGTTCCTGTTGCCGTGTCTCTTCCAGGGCTTTCCGGGGGCCTCCTGCCCGTTGGAGGTGGAGGGCCCTGGCAGGCGGCTGCTTCCGCTGCAGCCCAGCGCAGACGGGCGGCCTCGGGTCAAGGCACGGACATTCCCCTGGGAGAAAGCAGGCAGAGGCCGGATAAGGACAGGGACGACCCAAAGGTAAGGAGAGGGCACAGGAAACAAGGAGGTCTCGTCTCCTCCAGAAACCCCACAAGGAGGACCACCCCAGCTGGAAGACGGTCCTCGCTGCAAGGGCACCCACCGCCACGCACGCTCAGCCACCCACAGGCCCACCTTTGCCCATCAAGGCAGAGAGGCACCCTGTACAGCGAGGCGGGTCTTCAAAGAGTCAGGCACAACGTCCCTCCAACAACCCCCACCCCCTCCGCCCTGACCCACTGGCCGGGAAGGAGGAGAACCGTCGTCTGAAGCACTGCTGCCTTCATGAGCACACCCACGCTCCGCACCTGATGGAAAAATGCTGCGTCCACAAGGTTTTCTATCTGCTTCCCTTTGGGGTTCCCTCCAGGGTGCAGTCCCGCATCCCGCGGTGTGCGTTTGCTTGAGGCATCCTCTCTGTCCCAGAGTTGGAAGTGGCAGGGGTCTATTCCAGGCGGTGGATGACAGTAAAGCAGTTTACCCTGCAAGTGTCCAACAAGGGGGGTGGGTAGGGGCTGTTTATTGAGAGTCCAAAGGGGGCCAGCTGCACCCATCCGCCAGTGTGATGTAGCTCTCTTCCCCCCCCCCGAAAAAAGTACCTATTCAACTCTGGGCATTCCTCTACGCTGGGGCAGAAGGAGAAGGGGCAAGAGCACCAGGGGGCCACACACAGGCCCACCCGGGACACATTTTTGCTGCCTGCAAAGCAACCCCAGACATCCCATCCAAAGCGGGGGGGGGGGGGGAGAACAGACGTTTTT